AGATCGGATTTCACTCAAACTTAAGCAAATGACTCCTCCCACCCTATTATGTTGTTGCCCAAGTTTTGGACTCGATCTGAAATCAATAGGTGTAAGAAATTGGACAATATATATTCAAAGGCAGTTTGTTCCTAATCGGTGTGGTTGGTGTATTCCATAGTTCTAGAGATCGGATTTTACTCAAACTTAACCAAATGACTCCTCCCACCATATTATGATGTTGCCCCAGTTTTGGGCTCGATCCAGAATCAATAGGTGTAAGAAATTGGACAATTTATGTTCAACGGCAGTTCGTTCCTAATCGGAGTGGTTGGTGTATTCCATATTTCTAGAGATCAGATTTCACTCAAAACTAACCAAATGACTCCTCCCACAATATTATGATGTTGCCCAAGTTTTGGGCTCGATCCGAAATCAATAGGTGTAAGAAATTGGACAATTCAAGTTCAAAGGCAGTACGTTCCTAATTGGAGTGGTTGGTGTTTTGGGTAGTTCAAGAGATCGGATTTCACTCAAACTTAACCAAAGGACGCCTCCCACCATATTATGATGTTGGCCAAGTTTTGGGCTCGATCCGAAATCAATAGGTGTAAGAAATTGGACAATTCAAGTTCAAAGGCAGTACGTTCCTAATTGGAGTGGTTGGTGTTTTGGGTAGTTCAAGAGATCGGATTTCACTCAAACTTAACCAAAGGACGCCTCCCACCATATTATGATGTTGGCCAAGTTTTGGGCTCGATCCGAAATCAATAGGTGTAAGAAATTGGACAATTCAAGTTCAAAGGCAGTACGTTCCTAATTGGAGTGGTTGGTGTTTTGGGTAGTTCAAGAGATCGGATTTCACTCAAACTTAACCAAAGGACGCCTCCCACCATATTATGATGTTGGCCAAGTTTTGGGCTCGATCCGAAATCAATAGGTGTAAGAAATTGGACAATTCAAGTTCAAAGGCAGTACGTTCCTAATTGGAGTGGTTGGTGTTTTGGGTAGTTCAAGAGATCGGATTTCACTCAAACTTAACCAAAGGACGCCTCCCACCATATTATGATGTTGGCCAAGTTTTGGGCTCGATCCGAAATCAATAGGTGTAAGAAATTGGACAATTCAAGTTCAAAGGCAGTACGTTCCTAATTGGAGTGGTTGGTGTTTTGGGTAGTTCAAGAGATCGGATTTCACTCAAACTTAACCAAATGACTCCTCCCACCATATTATTATGTTTCCCAAGTTTTGGGATCGATCCGAAATCAATAGGTGTAAGAAATAGGAGAATTCAGGTTCAATGGCAGTTCGTTCCTAATTGGAGTGGTTGGTGTTTTGGGTAGTTTCAGAGATCGGATTTCACTCAAACTTAACCAAAGGACTCCTCCCACCATATTATGATGTTGGCCAAGTTTTGGGCTCGATCCGAAATCAATAGGTGTAAGAAATTGGACAATTTATGTTCAAAGGCAGTTCGTTCCTAATCGGAGTGGTTGGTGTATTCCACAGTTCTAGAGATCGGATTTCACTCAAAACTATCCAAATGACTCCTCCCACCCTATTATTAGGTTGCCGAAGTTTTGGGCTCGATCCGAAATCAATAGGTGTAAGAAATTGGACAATTCAAGTTCAAAGGCAGTTCGTTCCAAATTGCAGTGGTTGGCGTTTTGGGTAGTTCTAGAGATCGGGTTTCACTCAAAATTACCCAAATGACTCCTCCCACCATATCATGAGGTTTCCCAAGTTCTGGGCTCGATCCGAAATCAATAGGTGTAAGAAATTGGACAAG